TTATTGCATAAAACATACACAGCTTGTTTTGTCAGATAAAATTTAAACTTATTATTTTTTCTGAGAGTATTGCTTTTTTTATTGCATAAAACATATGCAGCTTGAGTTTATTTTTAATGGTACAAGTGTTTCAAGAATAAGATGTATTAAAATCCATCTTTTTGAATATGTGGTTTTTATTGTGTAACGACTGTATTTGGAATAAAATCATTTTAATCTGAATACTTTTTTTAGTTACTCAGTTTTCAATGAAAAGATAATTCAAATAGCTTGAAACTGTCTCAGCCTAAGTGAGGTTCCTTGTCTGGGAAAATTAATGTGTTGCATTACCTATAAATTGTTTCTTTAAATGTGTGTTGTTCTCATTAGTTGCTCTCAAATAAGAGAACTGAAGATTAGATGTGATAAATTTTGGAACTTGGAGTGATCCAGAATCTTTCTGGCTTGAGCTTTTGATTTAGAAAAACTTTTAACTACATAATAGGAATAAAACCCTGGAATATGAAATGTTTAACCTGTTCTGTGAAAAAGGAGCCTTGGTGGCACAGTGGTTAAGTGCTTGGCTACTAAGAGAAAGGTGGGCAGTTCAAACTCACCAGCTGCTGTGCGGGAGAAAGATGTGGCAGTCTGCTTCCATAAAGAGTACAGCCTTGGAAACCCTGTGTGGCAGTTCTCCTCTGTCCCGTAGGATCACTATGAGTCATAATTGACTCGAAGGCAATGGGTTTGGGTTTGGGTGTTCTGTGAAAAGAAGTTTGAATATAAATTTACCCAGTCACTTTAATAAGTAATGGCTAGTTAACCAAAAAAACAAACAAACCAAACCCATTGCTGTCCAGTCGATTCCGACTCATAGTGACCCTATAGGACAGTAGAACTGCCCCATAGAGTTTCCAAGGAGCGTTCGAACTGCTGACCTTTTGGTTAGCAGCCGAGCTCTTAACTACTGCGCTGCCAGGGCTCCTAGTTAGTGGTATAAAGCTGTACCAAACCCGTTGCCGTCAAGTCGATTCTGACTCATAGTGACCCTATAGGACAGAGTGGAACAGCCCCATGGGGTTTCCAAGAAGCGGCTGGTGGATTTGAACTGCTGACGTTTTGGTTAGCAGTCAGTCTGTTTAACCACTGCAGGGTTTCCAAAGAGCAGCTGGTGGTTTCGAACTGCCAACCTTTTGGTTAGCAGTCAGTCTCTTTAATCACTGCGCCACCTGGGCTTCAGTTAGGGGTATGGGAACGGTATAAATAGCAGTGTTCATATGACTTAGCGCTTGAGGATGGTTGGCAGTGTATGCTACCAGAGAGGACCCTTTGGTACTGGCTTTTGAATGATACATTGCTCTGTACAGAGATTTAAAATGAAGCTCTCATCTTGACCTGATTTATACCCTTCTGTTATTTTATGAGTTTTTTCTTAAAACAAACTTTCCTTCTTAGGCTGATTTTGTAGGTAGAGATGCATCTTTGTAGTAATAACCTAAGATGATGCTAAGAACCTTCGTTTGAACGATTGGCTCCCAATGTTTATCAATTTCAGGACTTTTTTTAATACTGAGAAGTTG